GTCACAATAAGTAAGTGTTTAAAATAAATAAAATTGTACAAATCTAAACGCCTTTAAAATTATCATACTGGAAAAAGAAATTTTCGAAAAAGATTATTACTGAACAGAAAATGATACAGGACAGATACGTGAAATTTAAAGTTGTCAAATAGTAAAAATACGTCCTGAGGTCCTTCTATAGTTGTCTTCATTTGTTGAGGGTCAGCAACCTATCAATAATGTGGAATTGTGGTGTCATAAAAATGCAGCACAAGCGCCTAAAATGCATCAATTTACCCACAAACTATTTCAAATAAATGGATATTCACTTTTTCGTACATTCAACCTGGTGCGCAGCCAAGTTTACCAACTTACCACAATGGTATCAGAAATATTTTTACGGCCGGGTCCCTTTTCGGTTTTTTTACAACCCAAAGCAATTAAATGGAGACGCGCAGACGATCTCAAATATTTTGATTTACGATTGAATAGAAACACTTGGCTGTATTCGTATACGCCTTCATGCCGGGAGAGAAGTATGTTGTAAATTACACCCCCTTGTGGCACGCGCCGCCCGTCAATACACTTCTGTACCCCTCTGGGGGCGTGAGGGACCCCCAAGGTCAAGAAAAGGAGTGCCACACGTTGTTTTCTTCAAAGAAAAGGAAATAGAAGCGCGGCTTTGCCTGGATGGTATTTAATGGGGAAAATAATAATTAAGGTAATTGTGGGTTTGTTTTAAATACTACTATACACTGTTTTTAATAAATAACTGATTCTATATGTGGTAGTTTTGATCATTTATCAATAAGTTCACAGAAAAATTTAAACACTTTTCGCATTAATTTTTATCTTCTTCAGCATTTTGAAATTACTTATCTGAGGATGTAAAAATGTAATTTTCTTTTAAAAAAAGGGTATTTGCTGCATTTCACTTAAAATCATATTAACTTTGATAAAAAATTAAATAATTGGCCTTTATAATAATATTAATATATCTGCAGCTCGGATTTTGATGAGACCTAAAAATTTCGAAAAACCAGTTATGTATAAAAAAAAGAAAAAAAAATCTATAAATAAACTTAAAAACATTAAAAAATTTCTCTAGAATATGAAAATTTCCTTCTTTCAATTTGAAACATTATTTCTTTCTTGTATTTCCTTAAATTATATTGAAATACAAATACATCAAAATTGATATGCAATTTCCTTTGAAGTTAAAAAAAAAAAAATACCAATGGTGAAAAAGTAACATATAGATTAGAACAAGGCTGCTAGGAATATCAAAAACTGTAGTATTAGAAAAAATCCATGTGAAAAATGACTAAATATATTCTTACGCATAAAACAATACACTAAAATTGAAAAAAAAGGAACGAAAAAAAAACCCAGGAAAATTTGAACGTGCATTCAAAGAGAAAAATAGTCTTACATTGTCATCAAAATATGGGTATTATTTATAGGAGACGTCTACAGTGGTTTCATTGAGGAATTAGCATAATTACAACAAACGAATACGAAAAGCGGCAGTTCGATAATATCTTTTTTTTTAAGTGCAAAGTATTCAAATTGCACTATAAGTGTAAAATATTAAACTCAAAGTGAAAAATATTTAAGCTATAGTTCCAAAAGCTCCTAATGTTAACTATTTAATGGACATTTATATATTATCATAGAAAACATAAATCTTTAATATGTTCAGTGTCGTTCTTCCTATCTTTTTTTTCCTCGTATTACAATCTCAATAGAATTGAAAAATTTTCAAATTTTGTTGAAATATTATTTACTTTTTGTAACCGCAGACTAAATTTTCAGAGAAATACTGTTATGCAAATGTCAGATGTCGAACACTATATATGTATACACGTACTATGTATATCTATCTATACATTGGCCTACGTAAGTCATTTTTTTGCACTGTACTTTTTCTAAGGATCATTTGCAAAATTTTTTTTTTAATTAAAAACTTTTTCTTTTGTTTTTTGGAAAGATGTTTACATTTTAATATTACATTATTAACAACTAGCAAAGGCCAATTACTTTCAAGACTTATTACTATGTAAAAAAACAAAACAAAAACTAATAAAATTAGTTTTTATTCAATTTACTGAGTCATTTGCTTTTAATCCGCAAATGTGCATGATTTTTTGTGAACTAATTGAATAGATCATGGAGCAATATATATTTTCCAATGGGCTATATTACTGATATATATTTACAATACTGATGCATTTTATTGCACATGTACAATAAAACAGAATCAAGACAAAATTAAATTTTTGAGTTATTTACTTAATTTGCTCCAATTTGTCATTAAATATTTAAATTTTTTTTCTAATAAATCTATGCCAAATTTAAATATGATGGCTTAATAATATAATATGATACGTTGTTAAGTATTTAGTCTCATAATTTTTTTAAAAAAAAAGTATATTCATTGATTGAAATTTATAATTCTGATAGGAATTGTGTCTGGAAATTGTTGATCATTCAAGAAGAAACATAAGGCTTGTTGTTATCTAAAATAAAGAGACATTAGTAGGGCAGAAAAATATGGTTTTTCTAATAAATCTATGTTAAATTTAAATAAGATGGCTTAATAATATAATATGATACGTTGTTAAGTATTTAGTCTCATAATTTTTTTTTAAAAAAAAGTATATTCATTGATTGAAATTTATAATTCTGATAGGATTTGTGTCTGGAAATTGTTGATCATTCAAGAAGAAACATAAGGCTTGTTGTTATCTAAAATAAAGAGACATTAGTAGGGCAGAAAAATATGGTTTTTCTAATAAATCTATGTTAAATTTAAATAAGATGGCTTAATAATATAATATGATACGTTGTTAAGTATTTAGTCTCATAATTTTTTTTTAAAAAAAAGTATATTCATTGATTGAAATTTATAATTCTGATAGGATTTGTGTCTGGAAATTGTTGATCATTCAAGAAGAAACATAAGGCTTGTTGTTATCTAAAATAAAGAGACATTAGTAGGGCAGAAAAATATGGTTTTTCTAATAAATCTATGTTAAATTTAAATAAGATGGCTTAATAATATAATATGATACGTTGTTAAGTATTTAGTCTCATAATTTTTTTTTAAAAAAAAGTATATTCATTGATTGAAATTTATAATTCTGATAGGATTTGTGTCTGGAAATTGTTGATCATTCAAGAAGAAACATAAGGCTTGTTGTTATCTAAAATAAAGAGACATTAGTAGGGCAGAAAAATATGGTTTTTCTAATAAATCTATGTTAAATTTAAATAAGATGGCTTAATAATATAATATGATACGTTGTTAAGTATTTAGTCTCATAATTTTTTTTTAAAAAAAAGTATATTCATTGATTGAAATTTATAATTCTGATAGGATTTGTGTCTGGAAATTGTTGATCATTCAAGAAGAAACATAAGGCTTGTTGTTATCTAAAATAAAGAGACATTAGTAGGGCAGAAAAATATGGTTTTTCTAATAAATCTATGTTAAATTTAAATAAGATGGCTTAATAATATAATATGATACGTTGTTAAGTATTTAGTCTCATAATTTTTTTAAAAAAAGGTATATTCATTGATTGAAATTTATAATTCTGATAGGATTTGTGTCTGGAAATTGTTGATCATTCAAGGAAAAACATAAGGCTTGTTGTTATCTAAAATAAAGAGACATTAGTAGGGCAGAAAAATATGGTTTATTGGGGAAAAAAAAAGAGTTTCTAATATGCTTAATCTATCATATAGGTTTCATTAATAAAATGAATTTTCAATAGCGAAACTAAATTAGAAAATAATGGCAATGGATAATAAATATTGTAGATTTTGCATTATTTAATAATCTAAAGTAACTATAAAATTGAGGATATTATTAATAATATGAAATTTTTTTTCTTCTCGAAGATTCATATTGAAATAAAATTTAATTTTTGAAATTTTTATAACAAATATTCTTTTCAAAAGAATTTTGAATTTTATCTCCAAAAATTCATTCTGAAATAATGTTGAATTATGTATTTTTATTCTCGAACATTATAATAGTCTTGAATGTATGCTTTTTTATTCACTAAAATTTATATTGAAATAATTTCGAATTATGTGATTCTCCCCCTCTTAATTTTTACTCCAAAGATTCTCGGAAAAATAATTTTCGAATTATGTATTTTCAAAATATTTTCCTACTTCATAAAACTTGGTTTCATACAATTTATAAGGAATTGGAAGGAAATATTAATAAAATTTAACATCTTCCAAGAAAACTATAACAGAAACATCATTGATCTATTCACATAACATCTTTTTTCTTCCATAACCTTTTTTTCTTCTTCTTTATAGATCTGAAGAAAATGAATTAATGTTATTTATTTATAAACGACTATAATTTGTTTTCAAATCACAAAATTTGAATTCTTGTACAGGAAGTTTAATATTAATCACGAGTAAATCAGTTATTTGAAACACGACAAGCATCTGTGACTTCAAAAAAAAATTTTTTTTTTATGAGATACTGTCTTTGGAAATAAAATTAAAAATAATTAAAAAAAAAATCAATTTTATGAGTTTTGTTTAGATATCAAATACGAAATATACAATGATAATAATTTATAAAATGATAGTTTCAGTCCAAAATCGTCTGATTTACATACGCGCAGACGATAACAGAAGAAAGCAATTTTTCACATCAGTATTTGTTATCTTCTCCCATCTGCGCAAGACCGTCGAAGTTAAGTTTGAAACTTTTCTCTTTAAACTTTTATTTCCGGCCACGCGCTCAAAAAGAACTACGTCCAAGGAGACTGACCACTCTGAACGAAAAGCGCGCGCAAGTCGAAAATCGAACTAGATCCCGCTGCTGGTCACCCTTCTAGACATGCATGAATGAAAAAGATAGAGTGGAGTTAGTATAAGTACCACACATGGGGTGGCGTAAGGTGGGGGTCGCGTTAAAACGCTCTGTCGGTAAACTCTATCGATCTCTGGTAGGGGGAAGAAGGGGGAATAGCGAGAGGGAGGAGTCACGGGACATCGGGGGAGTGGTGAACTCCCGGTAATCTGCGGCAGCCGGTTTGACAGTCGCGAAGACAGGCGTGGTGTTACGGTCCCAGCGGAGGGATACACGCCGGTGAACCACACAGGGGAGTGGTGGTTTAGAGGGAAAAGTCACGTGGTCTACCCACTCTCCCCAAGTTGCGTTCCCCCCTCTTTGCTCTTGGCCATCCTTTCAAACTCTCCCTTCTCTTTGTTATATAGCATCCGCTGCAGCCTCACTCAGTTCCTAGTTGACTGTTGTGAGAAGAAGTCGTGTTGTCGGATTCACTAAACCACAAGTTATCTTTAGCTTCTCATTGGGACCTATTTCAACAAAACTAATTAAAACCCTTCTTTTATTTAATGCATACTCATATCTTATTCACAGAACAAAAATTCTTTATATAACTATTTATATGAGTATACGGCAACGCTTTCTGTCATCAATGAAGATATTCTAAATCTTTGATCAAAACAAAGATAGCCACGTGACTACCACGCAGGATAAAATCAAGACTTAATTAATTTGAAGACAAAAGTCCAACTGTTTGAAATCAGTCCACTAACTGTGTGGAATTTCAAAAAGTAGATACTGTAACTAGCCAACTAATTTTGTTGATATACTGAAACTGGAATCTACTAACGAACTGTTTGTCCATTTTTTCCCCGTTTAATCCGTCATGGACTCCTGATGATTTCTCAATATTAGGATTTTGTCAACAATAATCTAAACATGCATTTACCAGCAGATTCAGTGAGTAGTCCACCGGTCAGTACGAACAGTCCTGACCAAACGAATACCACAAATGGTTTTCTCTTCCCCGGCGAGAGAATGCTGAATGAAGTTATGAATGACCATCCTAATGAACTGGTCAAGACTGGAAGTCCCTGTGTTGTGTGTTCCTCATTGCCTAGTCATTGGAGATCAAACAAGACATTACCTATCGCTTTCAAAGTAGTTTGCTTGGGCGAAGTTGCTGATGGGACAGTGGTCAGCATAAAGGCAGGGAATGATGAGAACTATAGTGCTGAACTGAGAAATGCCACTGCAGTGATCAAGAACCAAGTGGCCAAGTTCAATGACTTGAGGTTCGTGGGTCGAAGTGGACGAGGTAAGTTTCTTTTTGCATTTCTCTTTAAATATTTTAAATCTCTTTCATTGATAGTGAATTTCTACAAAGCTTTTCCGCTTTTTTATTTTTCGTTAGGGTTTCATAGTATTTTATGGCATGAATTAAGTAAATAATCGTAAATTAAAGCACCTCGTCAAGCTACACGTTTGAATAAGTTTTGTTGGGAATAGATACTCAATATTATTTTCTAGTTTGATATTTTTCCCTTTCTCTTTTTGATCCTAATTTTTTAAAATTGAAATGGCATGAAATACTTTTTAGGACCATTAAAAGAGAATTTAAGATTATTAGGAACATTCTTAGTTTCAATGCTTTTTTTTATGTTTCAAGGATTAAACTTTTTAGGAAACAATTACATGCTGTGTTTTAAAAGCCATTGATTTCTTTTCTGTTTACTTAGTTTCTTTCTTTTTTTTTTTTGGTTGATAATTAATTATTTATTTATTTATTTTTAACTTTTGCATAGATATTTCTCCCGAATGGATCATATATTTTAGCATCAGTAAAATACTAAAATACAAAATGAGCAAAAACGGATATTAAACATTTTCCACATTTTGAATCCCATTTGTTTCCAATTTTTCTTCTGGCGTATTTTTTAAAATTTTATTAATTACATTCCTGGCGATGTTTAATGATTTAAGCACAATATATTTCCATTATAAAACTTATATTATGTTATAATTTTTGTTCAGTTGTCTAAAATTTTTATAAGTTGAATATCTAAAAAAAGAAAGGCAGGCCTTTTAGCTACACCTAAAAATAACATGATACTTTATAAATAAAAAAATTTTTCTATTAGAAGCAGAACATAATATATGATATTAAAAAAAGTATGTATTATGTTATCAAACCTTAAAAATATTCACCATTTTATTTAGGAAAAGAGGTGATTTTTTGCTTAAGAGAAGCACTTATTTTATATATAGTGAAAACTACCCTATTGAGTTTAGAAATCATGGCAAAACTCAGCATCCATTGATTAAAAATACCAATCATCATTGTGTTTAAGTAGATTTTCTGTTCTTTTCACTAATTCGAATGTTCATTGCTAAAAATGTCTGAAATATCAGTTTTCGAAGATTTAGCCATTTTATTTTAATTCGGTTATATAAACGTAATAAATAAGGAACATATATAAAGAATTGTAGTTCGTTAATATATTTACTTTTTTCCAGTGAAAAACTAACTTCCTCATCCTTAATAAACTTATTCAATAGATTGACTAAATACTTTTTGGCATCAAGAATTTTTTCGAATTGCGATTAAATTTAGAAATGCTCGTTGAGGTTTGTAGTTTTTTTTTTCCCCAATCAAAATAAATTTTTAATGAGTTTAATTTACATACATTTGGTAGTCCTATTTTTTCTTTTTTTTAAGAGGATATTTGTTTGAAATTTCTACTTTAATCTATACGCGTATAAACGGTACTAGTTTATCTACTAGATTGAATTGATCTGTGACAAGTAGATACATAATAACTTAAAATTTAAGATGAGTAACATACTCGAGTTACAACTTTCTTCCTGTAAACATTTCACCGATTTAATAAATCCAAATGATATTGAACTCACTTGAATCTACGTGTTATTTAAATACTGTAAGTTCTCATAGTTGTACTAATATTTTACGCATTATGTTTTGATGGCATGCATTTGTTTTGCATTTTGTTTTGATTATTCATGATGGAATAACATTTTTTTTCTTCGAAAGAACAAGTGATTCTAAAGCGAATTTTCTTTCTTTGTGTTTGTTTAAAACGTTAAAAGTAATTAGTAGCATGTGCCATTCGCCTGAAATAAGCGACAATGTCGTAATTTCCGTTTTTTTTAAAGTTAAAAAAAAGCTGCTATTTTAATTAAAATTGATGTAGAAAACTGGCTTTATTATAGTTTAAACAAATTAAAGGAAGCTGTCTACTGTTAGCTAATAAATTGGGAGCTTTGCCTTATAGTTTGGTTAATGGTGTTAAATAAAAATTGTAATTTAATATTTATAATAGTGGGATAAATTGGAAATTTTAACTTAAGATTCAAAGATTGAAGCAGGTTTAAGAAACACATAAAGATTAATGAAAACATAGCATAAAGATTAAGATTTAAGAATAACAAAACATAAGAAGGACGAAAAAAAATTATAAATCGTTATGAAAGTAAGAAGCAAGACCAAAGAAAAGTTTCAAGTACGTGAAAATTCATGAAGAGATTGACTGTAAAAATTTAAATAACTTAAAAGGATTGAAGAAATTAAATGTCACTATCAGTTTTGAAAAAAAAACTAATAAAAAATATTATAGTTTATAAATTAAGAAAGACTTCGAGTTACAATTCATCAAAGTAATAAGAATTTTGTGCTGAAAATAAAAAATAATAATAATAAATTGCTAAAACAATCACATTAATCAAAACAATTGAAAGAAAACATCATTGTAAAATATTCAAAAATTTAATATTTTTTGATTTTTTTTTTTAAATTTTAACACTTATAATTAGTATACATATTTGAAAACATTATGGAAAAAGTATGGGTTGAAACTAATATAAATGAGAGAAAAAAATTCGCAAAATCCTGGCGGAGTAAGTTTTGATAGAAGGAGGTCTTTATGATAACTTCTCAAAACTGCATTTCTCATGCCTACAGGCGCAAAGACTCATAAGTTTTTAGCCGTTTGTTTAGCCGATTTAACAGCCTGTGTAAAGCAAAAAGTAGTTTCCGTTTCAGAAAGAGTTTTTGTTTCTATATTTTTTAAAAATTTTATTTAATAGTTTACTAGTTTTAGACAAATTAAGTGATAAAGTAAAACGTTTACACAGTTTAAGTTCGAAATTTAATAATTAAAAAAAAAAAAACAAAAAAAAAAGACCCATCGACGGGACATTTAATATTTCCTGGAATGGAAGCTACGTCATTTATTATAAATGTTCTTAAAATTTTGTAAATTTGATGGATAATTGACTAAGTTATCGCATTTATACTTAAAAAAAATCTTTTCAAATTACCGTTCTGTATGGTAATGAAATTTCTGGTTTAAAAAAAACAACGCAATTGTGGTTAATAAAACCGAAATATAGTATATTTAAACTATTCACTTGGTAATTTTTCAGTTCATATAGTAACGGTTTATCAAAAATTCTGATTTTCAAAATTATAGTTCGTATTACCACGCATTTAGTTAAAAAATATAAAACTAAAAAGTAAATTTAACGGAATATATGGAATTATGCTAAAAGTTTTACAACATTTATCTAACTTTATCACATATTATGGAATCATACTTTGCCGTTAATTTTTTCAAAATTACTACCAAAGCACTTCGGTAAAAATTACCAAAATTTTGGCATTTCCATGGAACTAGAAGCACGGTAAATTTTTCCTGTTTGACCATACTTTTCTTTGCTCAGTGTGGAAATACAAAAAACGTTTTATCTATTTTTTTCATAAAAAAAAAAACGCATTTTATAATTAGGGAAAGCTTATTTCCTCAATGTGCATGTTGATCTGAAAATCACCGTATTTTTCTCGTTTATATAAGTTTCTTATATAAGAAATGATATTTCACGTCGATTTGCCTCTAAAAGCTAATGCAACATAAAGTTAATGCTTTGTGCGTAAGTATTTCGCAATCATATGGTTGAAGAACCGGTATTCTAATCAAGATATTTTAAACTGGGTTTATTTTGATTGATTCATTTTTGTTCTGGTTTTTTTTTATTACAGTCGGAAAAAAACAAAAAAACAAACAATAGAAATACTTTATTATTAAGGAGTAAGTTCATTTCTAAAGAAAACAGACGAATTCTTTTAGAAAAATATTTTAGTTAAACTTTTAGTAATTTTTTTAAATTAAAGGAAATGGGATAATGAAAGGTTAAAATCAAGTTCAAATATTCTCCTTAAAAAAGGAAGATTTTAATTCAAAAAATTAAAAATTGAAGAAACCTATTACGAAATAAAAATTAACTTTAATTTTTATCTCAAATGTTGAATCATTCAAGCGACAGTTTATATCAATTTTCCATCTTTTTCCTCAACGATTTACAATTAATGATATTTTTTTTGTTAAAAAAATATCTTTCAAAGTATAATTTAAAATAACTTGAGTAGTTTTCATAAGCCATCAAATCATTGCATTTGAAATAAATTAAAATGAACGGAGATTTATACAGAAAAAAAAAAGTTGTAAAATTCCAAGCGAATTTTGTATTTGTTTGAAAGATATTCTAATTTTCAAAGTTTTACTTCCTTAAGATCAATAATCAATGTATTAGCTGCATTTTTATTTATTTCTTATCTCTTTTATTGATGTTAACTCAAACAACCTGCGAAATACATAAATGAAAAAATATCTTTAGCATCTCAAAGCTTTTATCAACGGTTCCGTTAAAAACGTTGACCCTTGTAGTTTTCTGTTCCTTATTCATTTAAGCACAAGTTACTAAAGTAGGTAGGGTAGTAAATCAAGTTATCTACAAATTGTTTATAATACTGTTTTCCTTAAAAGTACTTTCATATTTTTTAATATTAAAAGTTTTATGTTGAAAAATACTCGTAGAAAGCGATTTCAAGAATTTGATATTATTTGTATCACTTGAGAATTCGGGTACCTTAGCACACTTTATTCAACAGCAAAAGATTTGTATTTAAATTTACATGGAGCAAAAAATTCTGATAAAATTACCGTACTGTATGGTGAGGGCATTTTTAGTAGAAAATAAAATAAAAAAATATGGTATTTAAATAATTTATTTGGTAATTTCTCGGTAACGGTTTATCGGATATTCTGGTTTTCAAAATTATAGTTCTTATTACAACACGTATAGTAAAAAATACAAAACTGAAAACTAAATTTGACCGAACGGGTTGTTCTTATGCCCTGATCTAAAATTCTTCTAATCTAATCTAATCTTTTATGCCACAATAAAGATCCGAAATTTCATCACATATTATAAAGCAATACTTGATTGTTAATTTTAACAAAA